CAAGATTGTCAAAAGTAAAAGAAAGGAATATAAAGTCGGTCTATTTATCATGGTTAAATAGACAAGCTGTCTATCTCTGGCAACCCTTAATAGACTTTTGCTGATCAGGGCTGAAATGATGACTTTAAGGATTTGTCATAGATAAAAGATGGATATGGGAAGAAGAGATCATTTGTTGTATTTTAAGAGGTATAAGTTATTAAAATTGCTTATACTTGTAATGAAGAGGGAAGACTCATACACATACACACACATGATTTTCTATATTCTTCCTTTTCTCTGTACCTATTTTTATTTTTTAGTTTATCATTTTAGTTTTAGTTTATCACTGTAATTGTAATTTTTAATAACACTACTACTAAAAAGAAATTTTTAGAAAATTAACTAGATTCTTTGGAGATCTTGAAGATATACAAATTCTAGCTTTCAGGTTTTGTGAATACTTTAGCCTAGACATGAATTTGACTCATCATTAAAGCATATGCTGTAATTTGTGTCTTTAACATACCACAAAACTTTTCATTATTTTTGGTTTAATTGACACACCCTTCGGAAATAATGAAATTTCTGTGAAGGTTAGACTGGAAGTTGAAAAAGTATCCTTAATAATACAAATGGCGAGCCACTTGTGAATCACACTGAAGTCAGTTCCCAGAAATCCAGACTTCAAACTTGCATCACCATTCTTAATACTCATATATTTTTATATTGTGGTACTTATGTCCCTATTTTATATTTTGAAATGTTACTTATGGCTGAGACTGTGTCCTAAGGAATTTGCACATATTTCTGATTTCTTTAAGGATCGAGGTACATTATATTATTGTACAAAACTTAATTTTTTATCAGCGTCACCACTGTTGCATATTACTGAGCTAAAATTCTTCCTGATAAAACTTCCTTTTTTAAAAAAAAAAAAAAAAAGCAAGAATGTTGATTTTTTTTCCTTTTTTTAAAGACCTTTCGGCAGCCTTGCTGTTAGTCCTTAATTACAGATTTAAACCAGCCTTTGAGAAAAGCATGAAAGGAATAAAACAGAAATAAGCATCTTGTAGAAGGTCAATGTATATGTGACTTAATAATTAATGTTATAAGCACATTAAAATAGTAAATTCAAACAGACAGGATTATTTGTTCCCTTAAAATGAGCAGCTTTATATCAAATCAAAGTGTATAGATAATGGAATCAATTATTCATCAAGCACATTGTGCCAAGAGATCAACGTAAGAAATTACTTGCTCTATGACTTCTGTACAGTTTACTATAAAACTATCTTTTACTGAATATGGACATTTATGGCACAATTTTATGTACATGCTTTTTAACTTCTACAGAAAAAAACATATGCAAAGAAGCTGAAATTATTGTACACAGAAATTATACTTATGATTTTAATTATGAATGTGGAGATTTGGTCTTATGTATTTTTAAACATAATAATCTAAAATCTACTCACTTTCTTTCACCACTACCCCCCCTTACTATTTTTCTAAAATAAAAGTCAGAATTGCCCTCACTAGCACAGCTCCAGTGTTTGTTGGGATTACAAAAACATTTAATATACTTACTTTTGCAGCTTCATTGTTGCACTGTGCATACACAGAAACAACACTGTAGCTATTGCTGAGATCCTAAAATACACTCTAAAAATATATTTCTATATATGCAAGAGTGAACCTTGTCTTGCATTCACATTCAAAAAGGTGTCTCTGTTCAAAAGTAAAAACATGATCTACTTATTAAATGAACTAGTTGTTTGCAATAGTGACAAACAATGAACTAATTGTGTTTGCTTTATTCTGATATTGAGTATAAGGAAGATGCTGCTTGAATGTTAACTACTTATACATTTTCTTTTATGCTCTGGTCAAACATATTTGTCTTCACGAACCTTCAACCATCTAGACAGTTATTAACTACCAACCACTGAAATCAGTGCCATTACTGGTGAACAATAAAAAGTACCATTTCATGTATTTATACATGAGAATATATTTTAAGATGAAACAACATGCATAAGTAGTGACTTGTGATACTCAAACTTCAATTTATGATAAAATACTGTAATAATCATCCTACCAATTTTGTCAACATATGATAAAATACTGCAATAATCACCTTAGCAGGCTACTATATCAAGACTTCCAATACCCAACGATTACAGCTCTACACTTTACATATCTAATTTTGGAATTGTAGTCACTAGATATTACACACCCAGGAAGTCTGATTATGACTATGCTTGTTGATTTGTTACCATTGTAGGCAACATTTTTTTTAGGTGTGCAGCCAATTAGGTAAACCGATGAAGTGACTTTTTTGAGCGCTCTTCCCCTATATAACTGGTCACTTCCATAGCCATACACTTATAGTGATCATCTTGGATTACTTGCACACCATCGGGATTGCCATGTTGTTGGTATTTACTGGGGAGTTTACAGCATCAAAAGATAATGAAGCAGCAAAACAGTACTTTCCACATGGTCGCTTCCCTTCCTGCCTCTCATCATTTCAAAGGACAGCATAACTGTAATTGAGAAAAGTTTTATAGGGATTTTACTGAAATATCGTTAACGGATTAGTTCTGTTACCTTTCTGAATAAGCTATAATACCTTATTTTTGGAAGACTGAAGGACTCAGGAAATTTTGAATTCACCTGTTTCAAAAAGTTCACACTAATCCAATGTAAGGAATACAAGTTTACATGCACCTTGGATGTACTCTTTGAACTTCAGTTGTGGTTAGGCACATTCTTTTGAGGTTAAAGTCCACAGAATAAGCAAATGATTGAATTAGGTGCTTTATAGGAGTTGTCTCTGAGGAACATTTCTGCCAGCTTCAACTGAAATAGCTGAATTGTCTTGCACACACAAAATCTATTGTAATTTTCATATCACGCTGCCATGGCTTTTAGTGCTTAAGATTGCACAACATGCTAAGCCGACATTAAGTGACCACATTATGGCTTTACATGATTCTGCAGCATTTCCATTGGCTTCCAATTAATTTGCAGTGAAATTCATAGAATTGATTCTGACTTTTACAGTCCTAGATTGAGCCTAGGATACTTGAAGGTTCTTCTCTGCCTGCATAATGGTGACTGGGTGGTCTTAACTGGAGTTTTAGTCTAATGGCATATCCACGACGACCCTTCTACTGTTATAAAGTGGATGTTCACCTTAAGAAATATAACGACACTTTTTCGACTCCCAAAGAATCGTAAAATCATGACGTCCGTAAATAAATTTTTGGAAGAAAAACGGGTAAAAGGGTGACAAAGAGATAACTAATGTCATCTTATGGAATGTCTGTCCCTATCAATTTAAACTGATGTATACAGATAGTGCTTGACTTACAACCACAATTGGGCCCAAAATTTCTATTGCTAAGCAAAACAGTTAAGTAAATTTGGCCCTATTTTATGACCTTTCTTGCAACAGTTGTTAAGTGAATCACTGCAGTTGTTAAAGTAGTAACACGGTTGTTAAGTGAATCTGGCTTCCCTGCTGACTTGGCTTGTCAGAAGGTTGCAGAAGGTGATCGTGTTGCAGTGTTGCAGTGTTGGGACACTGCAACCGTCATAAATAGGAGTCAGTTGCCAAGTGTCTGAATTTTGATCACCTGACCATGGGGAGGCTGCAATGATTATGACGTAAGTAAAACGTCGTAAGTCGCTTTTTTCAGCGCCGTTGTAACTTCAAATGGTCACTAAGTCAACTGTTTTAAGTCAAGGACTACCTGTATGGAAATATATGTGAAATAATGAAATAATCCTTATACATATATATGTTTAATCCTTTCCTATAAATACGTTGTATATCTATCTACATTACAGGTTTCCAGCAGAAGGGACAAGAGTGTAGACCAGGGGTAGTCAACCTTGGCTCTTTTATGACTCGTGGACTTCAACTCCCAGAATTCCTGAGCCAGCTATGCTGGCTCAGGAATTCTGGGAGTTGAAGTCCACGAGTCATAAAAGAGCCAAGGTTGACTACCCCTGATGTAGACGGCCATCTGATATGCAAATCTGCTGCCTAATTACTGCTGCAAAGGCACATTTCCATAAATTTTGCAGAACATTTTCCCACAAGCGTTCTTGTACCATCAGTCACACAAATCTATGATAAAGTAAGTTAATACTTTTGTGAATAAACGGTAACATTGCTATGAATGTACAATGATCTGAATAGGGAGGCGTACCCAACAATTGGCAAATATTTAATACAAGATGTTTTGAGCAAACTTGTCAATCTATATACAATATAAAACCATATTATTTCTTTCCTCCTGTACAGTCAAGCACTGCATTTCCTTTTCTATGCAGAATTGTTTATTTAGTCTTTGTTCAATGAAACTTTTTATTAATCAACATTTTTAGAAAAAAATATTTTCAGGAAATTCTTTCAGTCATTTATCTTTCTGACTTCCAAGTATATAAATTCTGGAATGAACGGCTTATGATTTAGCACCAGACATTTTCCCACACCAATGTCAAATACTAAAAAGATTTAGCATTTTCAAAGAAACAAAGTTTTAGTAACAGCGTTGTTTTTGAAAAATGTTAATGGTTTAACTTGGTGCTTTTAAAAAAATAATAATAACCATACTTTCCCAATATCTGACACCATTTGTTCCCTACTGGCTTTGTAACACTTATTAAAATGACAAGATCACCTATTTTCATGCACTCAAAGATCATATATGGGAATGCTATTGCTACTGAAGTAACTTGATAATTAAAAATGCTTCTCCACAAAATAAGACTGACATTATAAAGCTCCTATTGGTGTTTAGAAATGCTCAAAGAACAATATTAAATATGAAATTACTTACTAGCTATCGAATTGTTACCCTAACCCACTAGAGTGAATAAATAAAATATTTCAGACTCAATTTCAGCAACCCCTTTTCAAAACAGCACTCAGCATAGTACTAAAAACTGGTATTTAACCATTAATAATTAACATTTAGTGTAAAAGTTCAACATGAAAATCTGCATTTAAAGAAGTTTTCACTGTTTAATGATTTCATATTAACAGTTTTCTCATTGATACAGCATCATCAAATGAAATATTGGAGCAAAGCAAAAATAAAACTATATATTTTTTTCAGTTTGATTCTTGAATTGCATGCAAAAAGGTAGTTACTGTGTACTTTGAATCAAGAATGTTGCATTCAGTGAGAGTCCTCGAGACAGTTTGTAAAATAAACAGATACATACTGACCATTGTAAAACAAAATTTCAATGTTGCTCATAACAATAAAAAAAAGCAGCACAAATACAGATTTGGTCAGTCTGGAAGCTGTATAAATATACATATCATTGTAGATTTCTACGCACATGTTGGACATAATCTACTGAGAACTTTTCTTGTGCAGATCACCATAGAAATGATTGTGAGTTCCCAAACACCTCTGCTACTGATGGTGGGATGCACCGGAAAAGTTTTCCATAATTGTGCCCAATACCTTCACTTTTCCATGGCTTGACCTCTCCTTGGCAGGCAATTTTTTTTTTTTAGCCTTGCTGAGAAAATGCAGACGCGCTCTGGATGGCATTTTATTTTCCTTTTCCATTTTTTGAAGATTTCTGAATCTGAAGTTTTAATTCTTTGATCATCTTCTCTAACTTCTGTCTCGCTTCTCGTTCCTGTCTCAGTTCATCTTGGAGCTCCTGTCTATCGGCCTCTGCATGATCCAGCCTCTGCCTCAGCTCTGCTAACTGCAAGTTTGAAAAGTAAAGACAAGCTAAAACAGCTGGTATATCATTCACTTGTTTCTTAATCCTGGTCAGGGCTTTTTTTCTCGGAGAAAAGGTGGCGGAACTCAAACCTGGCCACGCCCTCATCAAACCCTAGGACCGCCCCTTTAGAGAACAGGAATGCAAGTAAAATTTGGGAGGGGCTATTTCCGGTGTGGGAGGGGCTATTTCCGGTGCGGCCGGCCCGGAAAAAGGTGCCGGAACGCCGTTCCGCCGCGTTCCGGCTG